CTAACAACGTGTATAAAGCATTAAGTACCATTTATATGAGTGATTTGCAATAAATCGTTTAAATTATTTATTGTATTAATTAATTTAATTAAATTATTATTAATTAAATTATTTATTGCAAGTCACTATTATACGAATAGCACTTAACACTTTATACATGTTGTTAGCAATGGCACGTAGAACAGGTTTTTATTCTAATCGCGATTTTTTTTAATTGGCACTTAAAGCTTCAATTATTTTTAATCCAGAATTATTCACTCCGCTTTATCTCTTAGAATTTATTTTATTGACTTATTTATTTATAAATCGAAAAGTTCCCTTAGTACATTTTTAGTTTTACGTATATATCTCTCAGCAGATAAATTTAAATAAAAATCTATATATACAAGATCTATATATACAAGATAAAAGAATAAAAAGAGAAGCATTTTACAACACAATCTAAAAGTTTTCAATTAACTCGCTTTTAAATGTATTAAATGATGCATGAAAGAAGTCAATTTAATCAAGTAATATTTTACTGACATGAATAATCTATCGCAGAACGAGAACTCTAAACACGTATTACTACATATGTAAATTATTAACAGCGAATCAATCTGAAATTAATCTCAAAACTAACGAACGTCCTTTAAATAATAGATTCTTCGACCATTTTGCAAACTATTTTTCTGCAAAAATGTCAAAAATTTTGTTATTAATTATAATTTTTCAATTTTTGAGCATTGTATACCTATATAACTAAACCTTAAAGTTAATTTCATCTAAAATAAATTGAAAATTGTGACTTTGTCATTCATGTGGCTCCTTGAAGCTTTTTAGTTTGCAAAAGCTTCTTATATTTTAATCGCTTATAACTTGAACTATTAATGGAAGAATCTATCATTAAAAAGACATTTGGTGCTTCTGCAACAATATCCTTTTATAAATACACAAGCAACATGTGAATTGACAATCTTTTATTTAAAATCTTATTTTCCGGTGCTTAATCTATTAAAAAAATGTTTAATACACCACATTTGATTAAAAATATCCTCTTCTTTTTGCACCAATTCTTATCCCTTCCAATCCCTCAATTGTGGGAAAGGTATCAGGTAGCAAACGCGCAAGTCAATCGCTTACGGGCAGTCATTAGTCATTTAATCATCGACTAAATTTTGATAGCACAAAAACTATAATTAAGTATACGACTAACCAATTAATAATCAAATAATCGACAAAATTAAATATTTTGTAATAGCATTTTAAGTAAATAAAAATTTAATTGATAATAAACTAAATAAAAAACAAATATCAAGTTGCAAATAATTTATTAAAACAACATATATCAATTTACAGTAATTTTAACTGTTGACACATTTAAACGAAATCAAATTGATTTACATATAATAACGGAACAGTTGACTGGGAAATAAAAAATAATAATAAATAAAATCAAGAAAATTCTAAATTTAAATCAATAATCCGGCTAATGCAGGCACACGTGATTGAGAATCACAGCATTAATTAAAAAAGCAGCTGCGATTAGTGTTACCAAAATTGCAATAAATAAGTTTAATTAATAATATGCAATATATTAATAGCATAGGGATCTCGGTATAATTAGACGGTATAAAGATAGTAACATTATAGACACTCAAGAAGATTACATCAGTGACCCAAAAGTAAATAAAAAATGTTTAGCGAGAACGTTAGCTCACATTTTTATTTTCATTTTATAATTAAATTAATACAATTTTGATTTTATAATTTTTTACTCATGCTGACAATGAAGAGTTGCGAATACTTTATTTGGAGAATTGTTAGTTTATGAGTAATAAAAAACTACAATGGTTATCAGAAAATAGCACTATATATTAATATAACACTGTATATTAATTTATAAATAACACGAAACACAGTATTGATTTCAACGAAATAAATAATAATCGGTTTGCATTTCCGCAGGTGTGCCGATTTGCTGTGAACACTGGTCTTTGAACGACTGCTGGATTACCAAGGCCTCTCGAATTTCTTGAGTCAATCTCCGTGTGGATAGATCTCGGCGGACGATAGTTATCGGCTATACTTGATGACACTAACCCGTAGATCCGAACTTGTGGGCTTTTTTATATGCATACCGCAAGCTCCTATCTACCGGTACATGTAGTCAGGCCGGCGTTAAAACTTTTCGACGGATCCTCCTCCTACCCCTCCATCACCAGCACCACCACCACCACTACCCCACTATCGGTACTGCTACCATTACCACTACCACTACTACCACCACATCCACCACCACTACTACTATTTACTACTACTACTACTACTGCTACTATTACTACTACTACTACTACTACTACTACTACTACTACTACTACTGCTACTACTACTACTACTACTACTGCTACTACTATTACTACTACTGCTACTATTACTACTACTACTATTACTACTGTTGCCACTACCATCACCACCACCATCATCACCACCCCTCTGTTCCTCCGAATGCTCGCGGCACTTCCGGTTATAAGCAACAGACTTCTTGTCAAGTAATTTTCTCATACGTGAAAAGGGGACCATTTTGAATCTACCAACCGTTAAAGCAACATTAAAGTTTTGTTAAAGTTGAAAAATGTACATATCACTTAAGGAGACTATTTTACATTGAACATAAAATCAAATATTGGCATCGCAAACATTATTGTGCATAATATTGTAAAATAATGTCCTTCTTGTAAAACAAAATATATATCTGCGAAACTTAACAGTGCGGAGGAAGCTTCTGTCAAAACTATAAAATTGTAAAGCAATTTTATTATGACAATAATATATTAAGCAGCGTCATATTGTATTAATAAAAATCAACACATTGATTATTGTATTATAGTAGATATAAATTGTACGCGCGTATGTATATGTCAAAATTAATGTAAATACGAAATTTATCTGGTACCAATGGAATTAAAGTAAGAAAGTGAGGCAAATCGGCCGACTGAAAAAAATCGGTTGGTAGAATTAAGAGAAAGAAGAAACGTCGATGGAACACAACGGACGACAGAGGAGGAGCCCGCGACGACGTCTGGGTGAGGTAGTAGGTTGTATAGTAGGGAATGGAAATTCGCAAGATACGAAGTCCACTGTACAACTTGCTAACTTTCCCGGTCGTCGGCGCCGCGACGCTGTCGACGCTACGTGACTCTCGAGGAGCGAATCGTGAGATTTTCCGCGCGCGGAAGGGAAGAATTCGGTAGAAAAGCGTCATATTTTTTATATACAAATGCGTAAAGTGGGGAATTTTTCACAGTGTGAATGTCAACGCGTGCGAGTGTCTTTTGGCAGGAGTGTGTGTACGTATCTGACCAAATGTCTTTGATCTACCTATACTTTATTACTGCCTATACTTTATTGAACAAGCAAAGATTTCAACGATTTCTCCGATATGATCCGATAAGAAAAATTGTTTCTTTATCAGATATGTACTGTGTGTAATTGACTAGGGAAAAAGCGACATATACTTAAAATCAACTTTTTGAGGAAACACGTTTAAATGCAATTAAAATTTTTTGTTATTATGAAAATGTCTATTTTATTTTTTCTTATTTAATTTTAAAACATTTTTTTCTATATTTTATTATATTGTTTATATCAGACTTTTATACGTCTTAAATTATATGAAAATAGAAGTAAAAAGGATCTTTCATATTTTAATTATTGAATATTAAAACTAGATTTATTATTATTAAAAGTAGAAGTTTTAATTAGGATGTAATTGTCAAAACCTAAAAACGAAAAAATTTAAGCATAAACTTTTTTCTTCTCTAGCTGATCATATATATTTTATATATAATTCATATTCTTTTTTTAAAACATTTGTGTTAATTGTATAATAAACATAAAAAATATTTTTGTTCCTATACTGGCTTTTCCATTTCTTATTCTCCAAGCATGACAATTTTGTAAATTGGGTTTCAGAAGAAGCATTCTCGATAAAAGACTTTCTTTAAGAAAAAATACGATGGAACATTTGTCCAGCCTTTACTAATTGTCTGTACAATTTCTTCAACTTTAGCATAATAATAATTTGCAACAAATTAGGACAGTTATAAATTAAAATTGAAAAGCAAAGCGGCTGTAGAGTGAATGAGATAGAGAGAATGAGTGGTGGTGAGCGTGAAAAAAAGAGAAAAAGGGCAATGGCGGGCGGGCTGAATGTAAAGCCTGCCGCGTCGCCGGTTCCCTGAGACCCTAACTTGTGACGTCGCGACCGATATCTCACAGGCTAGATTCTCTGGTATTGGCGATGAGTGCTGCCTTTTGCCGATCAAAAGTCAGTCCTAGCAACAGAGATACAAACGGCCACATGTTTCGACTACTTGCCGCGCCACATTTGCGTATTCTGCGAATTATTTCTACATATTTTGTGTGCGATTAAAGTGAGAGAGAGAGAGAGAGAAAAAGAAAGAACAAACGACTGCTTATGTTGCATAACATTCATCGCTTAATTTTTCATCAGTAGCTTTAGAAAAACTTACTATCGCATACGCCTTGGTCTCAGATTTAGATATTTTTGATGTTTCTGAAAAAGAACAAACCAAATTTTAAGAATATATTCTAGTTATTGTAATAGTAAACAAATGGCATATATAATCAGTAATAGTTTGAAATGACATTGCGATTCTTCCTGTACAAGGCGCACTGTTTATTCGAAAAATTTAAATTACAATATTATCAAAATGTATTTTATAAAATATTTATGTTTTTTTGGTTAACACAGGACTTTATGTTAATATACTAACATATTAACTATATTATAAAAATATGTCTCAATATTAATTAAATATATATATGTATGTATATATATATATATTATTTTTTATTTTTTTATTTATTTATATATCGATACACACTTAATAATTTTCTGTTACTTGCTTTCCTGTATTATTATACCCGAACTTCTTAAATTAATCTTATAATAGTCTTATAGGTTATCAAAAATGATACAGTACATTATCCGCAGCTCATGACTTAAAATCAAATTTATTAATTATATTTGTATATACACATTCTGTACATCATGTAGTAAAGAGGATATTCTCCTACTTGTCTTGTCCAAGGAAAAATTATTAAAATACATCTATAATTTACATGCATAAGGAATATGACTTTAATGATTTAACTGTTATAAAATGAACATTAAACACTCATCACTTTCAGATTTTTAAAATATTTTTGTGCTGTTTTCACATGCATATATATTATGAAGTTTAATAAACCAACTACAGTAAAGTAAACGCTTTTAATTGATGTTGAAAATCTACTTTTATGTAAATATTAATATTATTTCACTATAGCATTTCACTACTTTCATCAATTCTGATATGACGTTATGTGGAAAAATCACTTACTCTCAAGTTGTTTAAAAAAAAAATATGAAAAGGAATTTATAAATTTATAAGTAATGAAGAAATAACGAAATATGACTGATGAAAAAGCTATATTTAAAGTAACATAAGAATATAAAGTACTATACTTGTCCATATATACAATTATTTACCGCATGAAATTATGTTTAAACAAGATAGTGAAAATATCAAAATGCTTATAATAAAAATTCTTTTAATAGTAATTAGGTATATGATTTCATCAGAAGTATCTTCTTCCCTCCTCGACAAGTTTACTCAACTCTGCAGCCGAATAGCCCAACAGCTGTTTCAAATCACAAACAAATTTATAAACAAACCGTTTACCATGAACTTTGGAAATCATATCACCATCGTAATAATATCGAAGCGCTCTACTCAATTTCTCATAATTCATCGACGGCTTATTTTTGCGTGCTCCCCACAATTGTGCCACTGCTTCCGGCTGATTAAGTTTGAATTCCCCTTCAGTTCCCACCCACTGAATTGCACTTCTATATTCTTTGTCGGTTAATAATTCTAATAAAAATTGCCACAACTGTATTTGACCACTATTAACAGCACGATTAGAAGGGGTTACAGGGATCGAAGCCGGATCGACGTTCTCCAATGGCATATTGGAAACCACACGCGCTTGTTGATTTCCTGTAGACTTGGATTTCACTTTTTGATTTCGCGCTTTAATCAACTTCTCCGCAATAGCTTCATTGGGTGAATCTGGTGTATCTTTTTGCACTACAGCTACGGAAAACAATAATCTTCATAAAATTTATTAAAAATTTGGATTTATCTAGCAAATATTTTCTTTATTATTAAACTGTGCGATATTAAATATTTTTTTCGCATACCAACAAATTTGCATTTTCTAAGAAGTTCAAAATGCGTCCAGAATACATCTCCTGGGTCAAGAGGCACTTTTGCATGAAACTCATCTATAGTAAGGTTACACAATTGCGCTCCGGTTATATTCCAATCAGCCAATCGTAACGATATCAACTTAAATTGTCTAACAGCCCATTGCAACCAATGTTTAACATGAGCTTCTGACCATTCTTTTGGATCGCTTGGTATTTTTAAACGTTCCTTTCAAAAAATATATACATATATTTTAGATAAACAATTTTTAAAAACATTGAATTTTTCTTACTATATGCTACTTTACTAAATAAATGCTTAATAATATCAAATATTCCTTTAACATGAGGAAATTGAATTTGAATTACAATAATATATATAAAACAACTTTTATATTTTTCTTTACCTGTTCCCTTTTATAGTATGCATCTACCATCCATTTTATGACATTTCTTTTATTTTCTTGAGCCACAGGTACGGGTGCTATATCATAAGAAAAATATCTTATTTAATCTATCAAAACTATTTTAACTAAAATTAGATGTATTTTTTTATATTTATACATACAATTACTTTCTGTATCTTCAATATAATCTTCTGCTGGTTTAAGAACATCTACTATATTGATGCGTTTCAGCATAGGCTTTACTTGTACATTAATCTGAACTAGTCCTTCTCCTTGGACACATTGATCCACTAAATTTTTATGATTTTCCAACTATTATATAAAAAAACATATAAGATAATATAAAACATTTTAAACTGAGAAAACGTTGTAATATACATTTTATCACTTACCACCTGTGCGTTTTGCAGCCAAAATGAATAATTCTTCAAATCCATAGTTAACCTCTCTTCCAAAAGGCTTCTTAATGTAGATAATGGTTCTCTGATATCCATGTGTTGCATTAATATTCCTTCATTGCAATACTCGCCATTTGAGGCACCTTCTAAAGTAAAACTAGGTTCAACTTCCAAATCAGAGCTATCCTGTTGCAGTTGTGCCATAATATCATCTTCAGGAGGTGAGAAGATCGTTTCAGGTTCCATTTTTATTTGCCTTATCATAGCATAATCCGCTTCATCATCAGTATCAAAACTAGAAAACAAGTGAAATAAATGTCGAAAGAATCTTAATTATAAGTTAGGTTATACTTATAGAAACAAGTGTATATAAATTCACTAACCTTTTATCAGAACTTTTCCGGTGATTTTCTAGTTCCATGTCAATTAATGTGCTAAATGCGTTATAATGGGTGAACAATTTATAATTTAAATTAACACTATAAATAAAATCTTCAACAAAATATTCGTTTGCATCAGCAATGCCCAGCGAACATTTGGTCACATTTGGTGTATATAATGCCAGAAGAATAAGAGCCAATGTCATGCTACATTAATCGTGTAGCCAGATTTTAGACGCAAGAAGCAAGCAGCATGAATGAAGGAGGTACCGCACACATGCGTAAGCCACTTAAGATAAATACGTGCGAGACAAAATAAGCAATGTCTCTTAAACTCTTTCTCTTTCGGTCCTGAGCCATTTTTAGCCAACACTCAAATCATTTTTTAATCAAGATTCCAGAATCTTGCTAAAAATGGTTTGAATCTTGGCTATAATGGTTTGAATCTTGGCTAAATTTTATAGCGTTTTCGATTATACAGGATTTGAACGACCCAGGGTTGATCAATCACTATTTTACTATAAATGCAAGTCTTTCATTGGTGGAGAGGTTGCAATGACGTCATTAACCAACCCTGGGTCGTTCAAATCCTGTATAATCGAAAACGCTATTAGAAAATAATTTTAGAACGCAAAGCAGTACCGTCAGCACATTTCGGAACACACCCTATATCTGTTTCTGCGGCGCAATATCGAAGAGATTGGGTATTAGTTTGGACATCAGACTCACGAGATGGCACTGAATACGGTATACGCAAAAATATATTGCGTTTTTATAGAACCTTTCACTCTATCCAGTCCTCTTTGGTGAAAACCTTTACTGAATCAAATCTTAATCGATAGCTCATCAGGAAGACAGGATGGAATTTTCCAAAGGAGATAGAAAAGAAGCCAGTGGAGATGATAGAAGACAAAGTGGATATCGCAATTGGAGGGTATCACAAGACCCTCCAGTGGAACTCAGACGACCACATAGTGCATCTACTAATCAGCCCAAACCAGGTTGGTGTGTACTGCAAAATTCATCGGCTTTTTTTTATTATCATGATAATAAAACTGTTTATTTATATATAAATTTTGTTTCACCTATAACTTTAGAACATAGTCTTGATGAAAAAAAGTCTTCGTTGTCACCACAAGCAGCAGAATTTGTTCCAAGATCATTACAACTTCGTATACCACCACCGGCTGCATATGAGCGTGTACGTCTGCCTTCTATAAATTATCTATATCATTTTATTTAACTGTTTAATTACCAAAGGCCGATACATTGTTCTAACGTTTTTTATACAAAAATTATTAATTAGCGCTTTTCTATTTCAATTTATAAAAGCTATTAGGTCTGATGACATCTACAATGTGCTTCTTATGTATCGTTTTTTACTCTTCGCTTTTCGTATTTTTGCTTTTTATGTGTTTGTTGCATGGAGTCAAGAAACACAGTGATTTACAATTTCTCCTTTTTGAATTTCCGAAGAAAAATATACCTTTACATAAAGGCAAAAAGGCAGAAAACAAAAATCAAGAAGCACGTTGCAGATTGGACTTAGTGTGATTTGCACTTTCTGTTTTCTTCTTTTTTTTTTGTTTTTATACAAGATTTAATATTATTATTTAACATTATACTACATTTTTGTGTTGAAAGACAAATACAACTGATTAGTAGCTAGATATTTGAAGATTCTCAATACTTTGATTGATTGTAACACTATTGGTAATTTTCAAACAGAATTTAGTAAATTCTCCATGGTAGTCAAACGGTAAATTTTTCACAATATTAGCAATCAGTCACATTTATGATTCTTAATAATCTGTCAATAGGAAATTCCTCGTCAAATTGCAAAGAGTTCTGTGCAAAATAGGATCAATATTGCTCGTTTCAACAAAAGTACACCAAATGCGTATATACCACCATATGCAATGGGAAACGATGCTCTTAGAGACGCTTTGCAACAGCAATGCAATGTACAAGACTCAGTGACAGGAAGTTATAATAGGTACACTGATGGTCAAAATAATTTGAATGACTGCAAGGTAAAAATTTAATTTTTCTTTATTATAGGCAACTATACTATGCAAAACATTCTTATATAATGATTTTCAATTAGAAAGAAGAGAAGCAAAACGAGGAAAAGGAAATTTACCATATTTTAATTCAAGAACTCTTTAACATTATCAATATTTTGATTGTAAATCCTGCCCAGTTTTCTCACTTGATTCCACAGTTTGTAAATAAAATTAGGAGGGATGGAAATATGCGTCACATAGAAATGATTTTAAAAACTATAATCGAATGGGTATACACACATATATATATTTCTTTTTTATTTATAAATACTTGTATGTCATTGCAATGTTATTTTATATAAATTTTATTTCATATAATATTATCGATATTTTCAGTCTATAGACGAAAGCAATTTCCGATATAATGGAGCTCGATTCTGTGAATATTTTGATAGCACTGCAGAAGTACGTACCAAAGAGCTATTTAGAGACGTTTTATTCATGCTGTAAG